TATACATATATACATATATACAGTATATATATATACATATATACAGTTGTGTGAAAAAGTGTTTGCGCCCTTGTCACACTTAAATGTTTCAGATCATCAAACAAATTTAAATATTAGACAAAGATAACAAGTAAACACAAAATGCAGTTTTTAAATGAAGGTTTTCATTATTAAGGGGGAAAAAAAAAATCCAAACCTACATGCAAAAAAATAAGAAATCAGGAAGGGGGCAAACACTTTTTCACACAACTGTGTGTGTGTGTGTATATACATATACATACATATACATATACATATATATACATATGTGTGTGTGTTAATAACATGCAACGAGTTAAAAAGCAGCGTGTGCAGTGTGGCGGCCAGTCCAGCAGAGGGCAGACTGACCACAAAGACAGTAGAATTATAATATTAATATATAAATGTAGTTTGTTCTTCAATAAATCAAATGTCTCAAAGATCAGCTATGAATATAAATAAATGATAAATATATGTCGATCTTCACAACAACAACACATCCAGGAGCCTCAAAGACCTTTGTATTTTTTTATTTTTATTTCACCAGATGAAGTCCTTCGCTTTACATATTAAAAGTTAAAATTGAATTTCATTGTTTGAAATTATAATAAAGTATTAATATTAATACGTGTGATGCCGTCAAATTATACAAAACGGGAGAACTGTTTGAATGTTTACCAACAAACAAAAATAAGACGGTTCAAACAAAAACAAACACGTCAGTAAACATATTAAATAACTATGTCCTGTTTAAAGGCATAAATATTATTTATTTACATCCAAGAAACTTTTTAAAAACAACACAAGTACCTCAAAAAGGACAGTACTTGAGTAAAAGTATTTTGTGTACTTCCATCACTGTAAGAGAATATTTGACAAAATACTTTTGTGTTCAGATATATTTAACAAAATAATAGCTCATATTATTAATATAAATATATATAAATGTGACTTAATATCATGAGAAGTACTCTGATCCTTTACTTGAGGAAAAGTAATTTTTACCACAGTCTAGAAATACTCAATCAATATATACTCAAAGTAAAAGTACAGAATGCAGAATGAGTACTTTTAAAACTGTATAATATAAAGACAGACTTTATAAAAAGGCAGTAAAATAAATGACGACGCTAAGCTAAGCTAGCTAGAAGTAGCCGTGTTTACGTTAGCCGTCCACATGTTAGCTTCTAGCTGTTAGCTTCTGGCTGTTAGCTTCTAGCTGTTAGCTTCTAGCTGTTAGCTTCTAGCCGTTAGCTGTTTAACTGTCCGGTTACAGTTCGTTCTTCTCTGTTTAAAAGCGCCGTCTTCTCGGAACTTTCTCGTCTCATGTCGACATTGAAAGTTGTTTCTTATTGATATTAAAAGTCGTTTCTTACAGTTTTCGGTCTGTTTATTTTTCCTCCTGGAGCCATGTTGGTCTCACGTGGAAAGAGTTGAGCTTCTTCTTCTGCTCTTTAAATTACGGTCAGACCTCCGGACGGACGGCTCTTTACTGCCCCCTCAAGTCTGTCCACGCATTACAACCACAGTGATAAATACAGACTAAAATACTCATCATGAGTAAAAGTGATGCAGTTTAATTAACTGCTTTTATTTTTATTTATATCATTGAAGGAGAGTTTCTGTCAAAAAGCCAATAAACAGTTTAGCATTGAAGTAAAATAAGTAAAGAAGTATTAGCAACTAAATGTACTTTAGTATCCAAAGTAAAATACTTAAAGTAATCATAATACAGAGGCACTATATCATCACCATATTTATTATATTATATTGTTTATATTACATAATAATAGAAAATATATAAATAATAATATTTATTATTATTGTATGTTTTATATGATTATTTTAGCTCCATCTACCACAGTAGTTCACATTTAGATGTCACAATAAAAGTATTGATCGCTGTGATCATCTCATTGTTCCTCAGATAAACATTGTCTTAACCCTAATCCTCTAAAATCATCAGAGAACAAACTGAATCTACAACAGTTAATCATCTCAGACAACATGAAAGGACTCTGAGGATCTGGGATCAGTTTTAAATATTGCTTATGTTTATATTTTGGGTCATGAAGAGTTTCAACATTTCCTTTGATTTAAAATCAGACGGGAAATCAGGCCGAATGACTCCTCTGACGGAAAATGTGGTTCCATCATTCTATGAGTCTGTTTATATCTGTTATATTTAAACTGGTGAATCACAAACAACCAGAATCAGCTCCAGAACTGGACAGATAATACAAATAAAGTTAGCATTTAACAGTTAAACTATACAGAAATACGGTTATCTAATAAAATAACTGGAGCACAATAAATTAATGTTGGCATGGAAATTAAGGTTAACATGAAAAAGTCATGTCAGCTTCATGTTGAGCTGCTTGTTTCTAAACCGAGACTCAACCTGATGAAACCACAGTGACTTTGTGTTACGTGAGAGAGAGTTCATGTGAATAAAGATTTTAAGATGAGAGCCACTTTAGTGAGTCAATAAGTCATTGTATTATATTAGAGTTTTGAGTCAGATCAGGAAGTAAAGCTGCAATTAATCATTGTTTTCATTATCAATTAGTTTAAATTGTCTATTTTTTAATTGTGGGTTTGTAAAACAGTGTAAAACCAAAAGATAATCTGTTTACAATGTTATATGTATGTAACATTATATGTTACTTGGTCAAATGTATTATTTGTATGTAATTTTATTCTATTTGTCTTATCTGGACCCCGAGTCTGAAATAAAGTTTGATTGATTGATTGATTATAAAAACAGAAAGCCCTCACATTGAAGAGAATAGTTGGAGCTTGTAGGAAATAATCTACCATCACATAAACAAGATGTAATTAAGTATAATCTGAAACTTCAGAGGACCTGAGGTGGAACCTTGGGGAACTCCTCTAAACAGAAATGTTTGAAGTGAAGAGAAATTTCATGAGACATCAGAGAGAGATCAGAGAGAGATCAGAGAGAGATCAGAGAGAGATCAGAGACATCAGAGAGACATCAGAGAGAGATCAGAGAGACATCAGAGAGACATCAGAGAGACATCAGAGACATCAGAGAGACATCAGAGAGACATCAGAGAGAGATCAGAGAGACATCAGAGACATCAGAGAGACATCAGAGAGAGATCAGAGAGACATCAGAGAGAGATCAGAGAGACATCAGAGAGAGATCAGAGAGACATCAGAGAGACATTAGAGAGAGATCAGAGAGAGATCAGAGATATCAGAGAGACATCAGAGAGATCAGAGACATCAGAGAGAGCTCAGAGAGATCAGACAGACATCAGAGACAGATCAGAGACAGATCAGAGAGACATCAGAGAGACATCAGAGAGAGATCAGAGACATCAGAGAGACATCAGAGAAAGATCAGAGAGACAGAGAGAGATCAGAGACAGATCAGAGAGAGATCAGAGAGACATCACAGACAGATCAGAGAGACATCAGAGACATCAGATAGAGATCAGAGACATCAGAGAGATCAGAGAGACATCAGAGAGATCAGAGAGAGATCAGAGATATCAGAGAGACATCAGAGAGAGATCAGAGAGAGATCAGAGACATCAGAGAGAGATCAGAGAGACATCAGAGAGAGATCAGAGAGAGATCAGAGACATCAGAGAGAGATCAGAGAGATCAGAGAGAGATCAGAGACATCAGAGAGAGATCAGAGAGACATCAGAGACAGTAGAAAGACATCAGAGAGACATCAGAGACACTTCATGAGGTTTCTGATGTTAAATGAATGTTTAGGACAAAGATACATCAGAGAGACATCAGAGAGACATCAGAGACATTGAGGACACAGAAAGCAGGATTCTGTCAAAGGTTTAATGGTTCAGAGTGTTTGTCTCAGTGCAACATGGAGTCGTGTTAGTTTATGTACAGATGTGAGCTTTGGCATTGAGAAGCAGAGTGGGTGGTGGAAGGAACAAGAGACCCTGAAGGCAGCAGGAGGGTCCAACACTGAAGACAAAAACCAGCAGCAGAGAAACCAAAAGACCGGAAACTGAACACAGAATGATTTCTTCATTTCAATCAACCACAAAAACAAGTCCACAAACTAAATCAATGGTATATATATTTATATATCTAAAGTGCATTATGGTACAAAAATATAGAAGGTCAGCAGCACCTCGATACATTTACAAAATAAATACACCATCCAGACCAAATAAATTACCGCAAAACAAATCTGACATAACGGGAATAAAAAAAGAAAAAGCAAGGATTCACAAAGATTCAAATCTTTTTTTTTTTATCATATTCTGCTTTCTATTCTGCTATATTTAGAATATTTACAGACAATAAATATTTTCCACTTTCTTTCCAAACGATCTCAGTTACAGACGACTGTAATGAGATCATTTAGGAGTCCGACTGTCCGAATGTTCTGAAACACAGAAAGACAAACTGTTAGTTTAATGTTTCAGACATCAATAATATAAAAAAATGATTGTTACTTCATACAAATGATTTATGTGGAAGTAAACAGCTGCATTAATCTTACTCCTATAATAAGAATTAGTTAAGATAACTTCACGTTTAGTAGTAAATAGATTTGTTCTGTAATATTATGTAGAATAACAATAAAATATGAGCATTTAGTGGATTAATAACTTAATTTCCTTTGTTTGGTAAAAGTGAGACAATAAACTGAACGTGTTCAGTTCTCTTTAAGTAATTAAAGGAATAATTCAAACACTAAGTCATCATTTGTATTTCAATAATCATCTTGAATTCTTGACGTAAAGGCTGATTTTATAAATAAAAAAAAAACAGAGAAAAGTGAAGTAAACGTGGCTCCGTTTACTTCACTTTATCTTTATTTTACTGTTGAGGAATCAGAAGTTAAAGAAAGAGAGTGACGATAAACATATATTCATTCAGTGGCTGAAGTATTCCTTTAAGAACGCGATGTAACCTGTGAGCCAATCAGAGAAAAGAAAAAGAAAACTCAAGAATTATAAATTCATTAGAAAGTAAAAGTGACTTTATTGATGGATTGTTTCTTCTATTCAAGTAAATTCATGTTTCATTGAGTCTGAACTGCTAATCAGCTGAAAGTTATGTTATAAACTTTAACTTCTCTGGTGCTGAAGGTGTGAACTCATATTCAGTCATGTTGTGTACTTCAGCTTTATGTTATGTTAGGTCTCGTGTCGTGTACTTCAGCTTTATGTTATGTTAGGTCTCGTGTCGTGTACTTCAGCTTTATGTTATGTTAGGTCTCGTGTCGTGTACTTCAGCTTAATGTTATGTTAGGTCTCGTGTCGTGTACTTCAGCTTTATGTTATGTTAGGTCTCGTGTCGTGTACTTCAGCTTTATGTTATGTTAGGTCTCATGTTGTGTACTTCAGAACTCACCTTTGTCAGAGACTGACAGCGTCTTAAAGCAGCGCCCTCTGCAGGCCCAGCAGAGACCTCCACTCCAGGAGGAGTCCACTTCCTGTTTCCTCCTCCAGCCTCCAGCCCAGCGACCGGGCCCTCCTCTTCCTCTTGTCTCCCTCCCTCCTCTTCCCAGACCTCCCTTTCTTCTTCTTCTTGCCGGGAGCTTTCAGCGTGCCGTCCTTGTAGGTCTGAGACTTGTTGGTCTCCTGTGGCAGGTTGGTTCCCTCCTCCTCCTCCAGCCTGAAGCTGATGGGCAGGTTCTTGGTTCCTCCAGGTGGTTTGGAGTGCAGGGTGCTGCTGGTGGTTCCGGTGGTGCTCGGGTTGACCCCCAGACCGACCCCCGGCAGCCCAACGCCGGTGCCGCTGCTGCTCCCTCCTCCACCGGCGGTCCGGACCGGGAGGTCTCGGATCTCGGCCGTGTGGACTTCGTCCAAAAGCTCCTGCAGCCACATGCGACGCTTAAAGTCCTGCAGCGTCCGGCCTTTGTCGTGCATCAGCTGAGCGTGAGTCACTGAGCGCCTTCTGCAAAGAGTCACATCATGTTGGTTTGAATTCGTCTTTTCTCTATAATATATATTTAAATGTAGCACGATAAGATAATACTGAGAGGAGGACTTTAAGATGTGACTCTTTATTAACATTCACACAGAAGGTTCATCAGCTGACAGACTTCTCCAATAATAATCCATCCAAACTGGGAATGACTTTGTTTTAAAACGGATGCAAAGACAGTTTTCATTTTCCTTGTTCATTAAAAGTAAAAACCTTTAAAGACAGAAAATAAGAAGCAGAGACTCACAGAAATGTTTTTCTACAGAAAACAGACGAATGAATTCTGCCTCATTTTAAATAAAGATATTTATGTCATCAAACAAATCTTAATAATAATAAATAGATAAAAGATCTTCACTGAGTCCTGTAATCAGCTCTTATAAAGGTCAAAGGTTGAGCTATCTGCACCTAAAACCAACCAGTTCTTCTTCATCATGTTCTTGTACCAACAGCTTTATATTATTTATGTCATATCATTATGTTTTACAAAGTATTTGCTGATGTATTATTGATATTTTAAATGTAGTGAGGCCACAGTGGGATTTGAACTCGTGACCCCTGGTTTACTAAACCAATTCAGGTTCGTTAAATAAAAGAAAAGAGAAAAATGTGTTGAGGTGGAAAAGTACTTGATGAAGTCTCCACATGGTGGAGCTGTCTGCTCAACAACTAAAGAACACTCACTTCACCAAACCTCCTACGTCTTTTATCCCTTATCTTGACAAACATTGTGCCTCATCATCATCATCATAACCTGTTTAATGGAATATGTATTCTGAGCCGTCGTCCTCTGGTTTACAGGATCAGAGCTCTGAGACCGACAGAGTCCAGACTAACTAAGACCACATGGTGGAGCTGTCTGCTCAGAAAGCTGAAGACTTCAGCCCGCTGGATGACCTTCACACCAAACCTCACGGACATTTGTTGAGTTTTTCACAAGTCACGAATGCCGAATTATATTTTTGTATTGAAATATTTAGGCTTCTAGAAATATTCAAAATAATAATTAGACAAATCTGTTTTACTCAGAAAACTCCTGATTTAAATCTAAACATTTTACTTTTTATTGAGTCGGTTTAGTTACAAGATGAAATGAAACGAGACAGAAAACGTGCATCGACCTGCTTGTTGGTAGATGTAAGAACAAGAGAAGAAGAAGAAGGAGAAGAAGAGCAGCTGATTTTGTCCAGCTGAAGGACCTGTTATCTTTCAGACCAGGTCCCAGCAGCTGAAGGGCCTGTTATCTTACAGACCTGGTCCCAGCAGCTGAAGGACCTGTTATCTTACAGACCTGGTCCCAGCAGCTGAAGGACCTGTTATCTTACAGACCTGGTCCCAGCAGCTGAAGGACCTGTTATCTTTTAGACCAGGTCCCAGCAGCTGAAGGATCTGTTATCTTACAGACCAGGTCCCAGCAGCTGAAGGACCTGTTATCTTACAGACCTGGTCCCAGCAGCTGAAGGATCAGGTCTTTGCTTTGCCGCGGTGTCTTGTTACTCTGAGTCTTAACTCTTATAACAACAGAGGTCCAGAGGACCCGGGTCCAGAACCCTGGGAACCAGCGAGCACAAACACTTCAGGTGTCCGAGCACACAAACACAGCGTTTCCCATAATGCACTGCTTCTCCTCTCCTCTCTGGAGGGCTCCACAGAACAGAGTCACAGCTTTCTGAACGTGTTTCTGCTGAGTCATGATTATCATAATATCAGAGAGCAGCTCTTGTTTATACGCATACAGATGTTTCCTGAGTCTTTGAAGCCAATCTGGTTCACATTCTACCTTTAATACAGACTTCAAAGGCTTCCTGACACATCCTGATGCTGATTGGTTCTCTCTGTGGGGTCCATAGAGTATATATATATATATATATATATATATATATATGATATGTCAGCGTTAATATGAATGTCGGAGCTCACAAACATCTCATCAGGAATGTTTTTATTTCACATTCAGAATAATTATTATAGAAATGTGATCAGTGATTTGAATGTTTGACTTTTTATTTCTGCTTCAGAAGAAAAGTGTTTATGACTCATTACAGATTCATCTGCTAATTCTTTCCTTCATGAATCGATCAATAAAACATCAGACACACGTCAACAACAATAATTTAAGATTATGTTCAATTTAAAATAAAGTGAGACCAAGAGAAGCAGGAAATGATCCCGTAAATATTTATTATTTTAGATGAACTGATGGCTGCAGATTAATTAACATTAGAAACGATTTGAAGCTCAAGTGAAAAACTTAAACTATAAACTATAAACGTGATTAAATCTAAATAGAATCTCTGAAAGCCTCCAAACAGCAGATGAAGGTCAGAGGTCACCAGCCTCCTCCGGCATGATTTCTACCTCAGGGTTTTTACATCAAGCCCTGAAGCCACCCAGAACCTCAATGTCTACCATAACCTCAAGGTCTACCAGAACCTCAATGTCAAGCAGAACCTCAACATCAACCAGAACCCTCAACGTCTACCAGAACTTTCAACGTCCAGCAAAACCCTCAACGTCCAGCAGAACCCTCAACATCCAGCAAAACCCTCAACGTCCAG